AGCCCCCTTAAGCGTCCACCATCCCCATGACTGATACCCTCCCCCGCCGAGGCAGGAGTAGGGTAGATCACGGGAGCGGTGGCTGCTTGGGGGGATTCCACTGTGGGTGGGGGTAGTTTCTGCCATCCGTGGCGGTGGCGCTGGTGTGTTGTGGTTTGTAGACCCCTCCCAAACCTAGCATCCAACGACCCAAGCCTCCTTTGCTGATGCAGGCAACTCTTGGTTGCGGCAGCTGGTGCCCTGGTGGCTTGTAGCAGTTGCCGGCTGCGACCGCGGCCGCCCTTACCCTGGCCAGGACGGCCTGCGGTGAGTCCTTCCCGCACCGTCCCCGTACATCCCACCCCTTCCCCACAACAAGAGGAGGAGGTTGAGGAGGTTAGTTGGGTACGGTGGGGGGACTCGGGGCTGCAAGCAGCTGAGCCAGGAGGAAGGGAAGGTTAGAGGTTGGTGGAGGCCTTCAGCATGTGACTAGCTTGCAGTCACCTCAGAGTGATCGCAGTCGCCACTTCTGTTCACGCCGTATTGTTCTGCCTGTCCCAGTGTGTGTCACGAATATGGGTGAAAAAGCCCCGTAGGGACCCACGCTGATCGCGGTCGCCGTTGATGCTCATGCCGTAGCGTGTTGCCGTAAAGAGGGTGGAATCCCATACCACCAGCTGTGCTGCTTCCGTCATACGGTGAGTGCGTGCGTGTCGGTAACAGGATAGCGCAGAGGTAGCAGCTGGCGGCCCTGTCTGCTGGGAGGCGTGGGGTAGGTGTGTGTGTGTGAGAGAGGATGTAGCGCGCAGATCTGGGATGACTCTGTGACGATATGTTGTCCCTGCCGTCGCAGTGGCCTGCTTCCATATCTGTCGGGGTGGGCGTGAGGGCGCTGCCGGGCATGCCGCGTAACCTCTGTGGCGCCCTGGGGCCCGTTGCCGTGCGGGCGGCCTCAACCTCGCCTCGGGGAGCCGTGGGCCGCGCGGCGCGAGGACGAGGGCGGATGGGAGGTTGCCCTTCCTGTGGGGTTGTCGCCGCCTCTGTCGCCAGGCGGCCAGGAGTGGGTTCGGCGTGCAAGAGTCGTCCGAAGTGGCGTACTCGTCCTCGGGGTTGACTCCCCTGACGATACACCGCTGTCTTCGTTGTCGTGCTCATGGGGGTAGTCCGCGAGACTGTCGCGCGGATTGTCGGCGCTGTCGCGGGGGTCGTCGCGGGGGCATGTGTGGGGGCTGTCGTGGTAGCCGCAGCTGTCTTCGCGCCCGCCGTGGCGGGGGTCGTCGCGGGAGTTTGTCGCGGGGTCGGCCGTCGCCGAGGTCCTCGCCCCGAGGCCGTCGCAGGGTGGCGGGGGAGGGGGCCTTCGGCTTGGTTGTCCCGTCGTCCGACCAGCAGCCCTTGAGGGAAGCGCTGCCCGCGTAGCCGAGGGAGGCCGTCGCCGGGTTCGTCGCGAGGGCCGTCGTCGGGGCGGTCGCATGGGGCCGTTGCCGGGGCCGTCGCGCAGTCGTCGTCGGGGTTTGTCGTCGTCGTGGTGGGTCGTGGGGGCGTTGGGGTTGAGTGGGAGGTCTCGGGGCCGTTGTCTGGGTCGTCGTGGAGGTCGTCGCGGGGGCCGTTGTGGGGGCCGTCGCGGGAGGCGTCTTGGAGGTGCCCGGCTATCCCTATGACCGCTTCCCCGGGTATGCCCCCCGCGGGCTCCCTCTCAGGGCATGCGGCCACGCGGGATCTTTCGGGGGGGGCAGAGGCGCAGGCTTCGGGCTGGCTGGCCGCCCCTATGGCCGCGTCCCTGGGTATGCCTCCCGCGGGCTCCCTCTCAGGGTATGCAGCCACTCGGGGCGCGGCCGTCGCGGTGGTCGTGGCGGCCGTCGTGGGGGTCGTCCTGGGGGCCGTCGTGGGGGTTCGTCGTGGGGAGCGGGGGCTTGCAGGCGTGTGCGGGGGGCGTCGTGGGAGGCCGTCGCGGTGGTGGGTCGTGGGGGCCGTCGTGGTGGTGGGTCGGGTGGAGGGCTCCGGGAGGTGGCTTCGGCCGTCCCTATGGCCGCTTCCCCGGGTATGCCCCCCGCGGGCTCCATCTTCAGGGCATGCGGCCACTCGGGGTGCTGCCGTCGCGGGGGCCGTAGCGAGGCAACATCAGACCAGTAAAACGTACCCAGGCAAATGAGGCCAGTAATCCGTACCCAGGGGTGGAGTGTCGCCCATGGAGACATGTTATGTAGAGCCACTGATTATTTACCTGCGTTTCATCACGTTAGTGGATACACGTTGCAATTACAGCCGCGCGCGATATGGATACGTGGGCGCGCAGCTAGCGCCCGAGCCATGGCTGGATTCCAGGAGTGTCGATAGGCGTTGTCGCGTGACAGTATTGTAGGATGTCCGACTTCCGCCCTCAGTGAGTCCCTTCTCCTCCCTCCCTCCCTCCTCCCTCCCTCCCTCCTTCCTC